TTATGACAATAGAGTTTTACCATGAAAGAGATTGTTATGAAATGTGTTACTCAATATGGTGACTATAAATATATGGGCAGTACAGATTGATCATGTTATGCAAACACTTTTTGGCAGTGAATATGTCTTCTATATATAATGTGGCAGACAAGAGTGAAAGTATGATAGTGTATAAAAGTTAGCGACCTAAACAAATTTTTATGTACTTTATTAACTTCCATTAATAATATGGCAGTGAAATTAGACATACATATGAAACTGCCAATGTTATGAATTATGAATTGAATTTCATATTGTGCAAAAGCCATATGCTTTGTTCTATGACTATTGGGTTTGAAATTCAAGAGTTCGTTATGAAAACGTGTTACAGAATAGGAGGTGATATTTTTTTGACAGTGTGGAATAATCAACTTCTAGCTACACTTTTTGGAAATGTCCTATGACCATGCTTGCCTAGTGTGTTTTGGTCGAATGGGATTTATATCTAAAAATCACAATGTAATAAATTATTCATTGAGTTTAATTGAAAGCGGACACAAAAAAATCACCAAAATGACAAGTGCTTGAATAACTTTAATAAACAAAGTATGAAGTGTAAGCTCAAAGATTTTTGGCAGTGTGGAATGCTTGTGATCTAGGTATACTTTTTGACAGTGTGTTGTGTCCTATGTTTTGGCCAGTGTGGAATTCATACATGAAAATAGTCATACATTTTTTGACAGTGTAGAATTTATAAATGAAATATTGCCACATAAATCAATAGACATTACACTACAACATGAAATTAAGGAACACAATAATACATTTACACACTGCCGTAAGATATAACAACATATATTCATTCTACACTGCCAAACAAAATACTCACATATAAAAAAACTACACTACCCACTACACAATTATGAGTGAACAACTACACTGCCCAAAACAATCATATTTTATTTTTCATGTTTTTTAACTCCTATCCAGGTAGATTTCTTAAAGATTAATAAGGTGTAAATGAGTAAAATATAGGAAAATAACCAAAAATAAAACATTCATGTTTTTATCTTCAAAATAAGAATGTTCATAATGTCAACATATAATAACAAAAATTAAAATGACATGCCTATATATATAGTGGCACATTGTCACAAAGAAATAATACAATTTTGAGATAAAAACAAGTCACTTCTATAATGGTACAAAAGACAATATTTTATCCTATTTTGGTTGAATTCTTTAAGGGAAATTTCAAAAATATTTTGCAATTTTTTTCTTTTTTATTTTTAAATTGCAAAATCATTCAAGCCCGTGATAGTATTTCGTTCAGTATATACAATGTTTTATCAAAATACAAATAGTTACAAATTGAAAACTATATTTAGCTTTGATGTGGTTGTAACTTGTAACTTAGTCTCGATCTTATTAGCTATTGTAACTTGGATTTTCTGCACACTTTTTTCGTACTTTTTTTAATTATCCATGTGCCTAGATCTTCATTTTCATAGATGTTCTCACACTTCTCTCCACACCTTGATCTTCTATATCACAATCTTCTTTGCATAAATCTGTGTCGTCTTTTAGAATATCATTTTATGAAGTTTCTATGTACGATCATGTAAATGAAAACGCAAGGAGTAAGTCCTCTCTCATTCCAAATTTCTTAATTTTATGTATAAACATAAAATATCTCTTTTTAAATATTGAAAAATATTAATCATAGTGAAATCCTAAGAATGATAGTGTAAACAAAGTAAGTTACGGTGACATATTCTTTTTTGATCAATTATATTCTTTAATATACGGAGTAATAAAAATATCATATAACAATAAATAATTAAAAATTATGTATTTTTAAATTAAATCATAAATCATTTAAGAATTTCAAGTCATAAATTGTGTAGTAATACTTATTAAAAATGATTAAATAACTAGAATAAAAACTACTACCTCCGTCCTAATTTATAACGCCTGTTTCGGTTTACGATGTTTGACTGAAATTATTTTCAAACCATTTTATATGACAAATGGTATAGAATTAAAGAATAAAAATTACATATTAAAAAACTACATCAAAAGATATACAAAATTAGTAGTGACAATAATATTTTATTTTATCAAATTGCTAACGAAAATAGAGAAAGAAAGTGAATAAAGTTTAACCCTGTGAATAGTAAACAGACATTATAATTTGGGACGGAGGGAATAATATATAATTTAATCGAATCATAATTAAATATGAATTTTATTTAGAGGTGAAGAGAGAATCTTAATTATTAGTAGTATTTGATTTCTTAAAAAATTATAAAATTAGTATATACTCCGATCTCCTTGTAAAAATTATCTTGGCAGCGATGAGATGGGTTGTGCAGCAAAGGACTATGGGACGGTGGGCAGATCGGAGCTGCAATGGATTGTGCAGCAGTGACCGGGTCAAAAGGGGGGCTAGACACATGCCATCGGGAATTCAAAATGGGAAGTGGGTCACCGTGGCTCGGCGGGCAAATAGTTGGTCGAGTTTGGGACAGGTGTTCCGTCGATAGGAGGGGGCCATGCCTATGCGGCGGTCAGATTGGGGGAGACATGGTGGTGGCCATTGTTGTGGGTTGTGCAGTAATCAATTGTGGCAGAATGGCCAATGGAGAAGAAGACCTAAACCAAAGGGTATTTGTGACTTTTTACCCTTTGCATTGGTTCTAGTGCAAAAATGAAAATGGACATAAATTGAGTGACAGAGGGAGTTACATTATCATATAAATGAAGATCTATATTCAAGAATTTTCTTTTTGTGTACCACAATATTCTAGGTCTTTCTCCATTCGTCTTACGGTTCCAGTTTACCAGACTAATCTCCGTCCACTTTAGGAGGCAAAAAAGCTGGCTCAAGAGAATTGTCACAAGTGAGAATCGAACTTGGGTTCTTCTCCTCACATGGAAGCTTCTTTGTCATTTAAGCTACCTACTTTGGTTTTTTTCTATAATTTAACATCTGATATTACTTTCCTATTTTCTATGTCATATGTTAGGTGACATATTAGTTGTCAAAAATGTCACGTGAGAATTGTCACATGTCAATTTTTAAGAGTGTGGAGTCTAATTTTTATATATAATAAGAAGACTTGAAAGTTATTGAAATTTCATGTTTTTATTCAAAATAGTTATTTAGAACAATATTTTTCCTTTATATTCAAAATAATTTTTATTTCATTTATTTAAACATTTGAATTTATTTTTTAAATTTTTTCTCGTGTCACATTATATTTGTTTCAAGGTATATGTATAGATATACTTCAGTGGCTAAACTCACAATTACTTTTTCTTTCATTTTTTAATATCAATAATACACGAAAAAACTAGGAACTTGTGTACACCAAGGTTGTTACAAGCACACACACAAACATCAATTGTCTGTGCAAAACACAGACAGTGTACCTTAGCTAGCAAAACCTATAAGACAATGTCTTTAAACTGTACTACATTTTATATACAAGTTTCAACCATCGTTGAGTTTAAACACGTGTTTTTGCGCTTTCATTTTATGCTCATGTCAACGTTCATAATACTCCCTCCATCCAAAAAAATTTTTCCCATTTGATTTTTCACGTTCTTCATTGCTGTATTATGACCAATAATATTTATAGATAGATATATTTTATAAAATTTGATATTTGAAAACTACGTTTCAATATAAAAATATTCATATTAAATTTATACTCCGTATCATAATACAATATATTTTTCCCATATATCAGAATCAGACATTTATAAAGTTTGACTAAAAAAAGTCAAATAAAAAAAATATTTTAGATGTAGAGAGTATATGACCACATGCCATTTGCCATAATTTATTCCCTCTTATTCCAATTATTTTTTTTTCAAATGACTCAGTCCAAAGGAGAACCCAAAACGCCCGTTCCATGACCAAGACGCCATCTTCCAATTTCTCTCTTTCTCTCCCGCTCTGACTCATTTTCAAGGAAGGAATTCCGGGTTTTCTTGAATACTACTGTTCTATAAAATAATCTCCAGCGCTCTTCAAAATTCAAGTTCTGGGTTTCTTGAGTTTTCCACTCAATCTCATTCTCCGCCATTTTCTTGATCGCAACACTATACTCTGTGATCTGAAAATCTTTTCTTTTTCGTTTTCCGTCAAAATCTCGCTGGATTCTTGTTCGATTTGGGATCATTCTCGATAAACATAATTTCTGGGTTTTTTCCCCGAGAGATTCTCCGATTCTTTCATGCAATAATTTCAAGAAATGTCGGCTTCATCATCATCCTCGGGACGTCCCATTCAGACCCACTCAATGGTGTCTGCCCACGAAACCTTCCAAAGACATGTGGCCGAGCAGTTCAGCTCCTTGCAGGCCACGAGTCCCGACGAGCTTCTCACCATTCCCTGGATTCATAAACTGATCGGTGTGTTCTTGTCTTGCCAGAACGAGTTCAGGTCCATTCTGCAGAACAATCAAGAGTTCTTGAACAGGCCCCCCATGGAGAGATTCGTTTCGGCCTATTACGAGAGATGCGTCAAGGGTTTGGATGTGTGCAATGTGATCAGAGAAGGGATTGAGAGAATCAGGCAGTGGCTCAGGCTTCTTGAGATTGTCATGTCTGCCATGGACAACATCATTTACATGGAATCCCATTTTCGCCGTGCCAAGAGGGCTTTGGTCGATTTGGCTATCTGTATGCTCGATAATAATGGGTCTTCTTCTTCTTCTTCGTCTGTTTCGCGCAAGAATCGATCTTTTGGCCGAACCAGAAATACCCAGACTGATCAACAGGGGACCCACACCCGCCAGTTCAGATCCCTCTCTTGGAGTGTCTCCCAGAATTGGTCTGCTGTCAAGCAGCTTCAGTCATTTGGAAACAGTTTGTCCACTCCCAGGAGTTCTGAAGTCACTTCGTCCGGAGGACTGGCCACCATTGTTTACACAATGAGCTATGTGCTTTACTTTCTGATGTGGGCTCTTGTGGCTGCAATCCCATGTCAAGACCGCGGCCTGCAGACAAACTTCTACCTGTCAAGTACATTCCTTTGGTCAGCTCCCTTGCTGGCCTTGCGCGAGAGGATTCTCCAGGAGTCGAAGAAGAAGGAGCGCAAGAACTGTTGTGGGCTGTTGAAGGAGATTTACACGCTTGAAATTCGCGCGCGCAGCTTGAACCAACTGCTGGATACCACTCCATTCCCATTGTCTGGGATTACCTATACGGAAGTGAAAAAGGGAGCAGAAGAGCTTAAAGAAGTGTGTGATTCACTCAAGGAGGAGTTGAACCCGTTGGAGCGCCGAGTGAAGGAAGCATTCCACGCCATTGTTCGCTGCAGGGTCGAAGGCCTTCACTCCATTGCCATGGCACAAGCTAGTCGCCCTACATGATGATGTTCGTAATTCAAATGAAGCTTGCAGATAGGAGAAGAGTTTTTTTTCTTCATTTTTCCCAATACAGATAGTTGCCAAGGAGTACATGGTACTTAGAGGTTCTTAGTTCTTACCCACCAAAAAAAGAGATAGGTTCATACTTCATACCCACAATGGTATGTTTTCTTAAGCTGGTTCTGTTAGGTGAGTACATAGTCAAAAAAAAGAAAAAAAATCTAGCATACAAAAAAAATAGAGGTTTGGACCCACAATGTAATCTTTGAAAGAGTTCTGACTTTGTCTGGAAATAGATTGTGATTTCTCATTGCCATTGTTGTGAACTGAGAACATATATGGTGTAATAGCAGGTCCTGATAATCATCTTCTTGCTGCATAGCTGTTTGCTTATGTTATTCTTTGTTCTCTAGTTGTAAAAGTTTCTTTTTTTTTGTATTGGGTTTAGTTTTAGCTGTCCCCTTTTGAAAATATTTCAAATTTAGGAAATCGTCGTAAAATAACGAAAAAAAGTCGTTCAAATTAGATACTTCATGATATTATGCTAATATGTTCTTTAAGAGGGTGGACAACTCTTGTTTAGTACTGCTATGTCATTTTCCATTTCCAGCTAAGATCTGCTTGCCAAATTGTATAGAGTTCATCCCTCATATCCCATATTGATTTCATTGTGATCTATTTCTGCTGCATTCCTCGGAATGTGCTGCATTTTTCATTGTTTTACACCATCCAGCTAGGGGAGCATTGGAGGAGTCTATTTATATAATACTCATTGTGTCTCAAAATAAAGTGCATGGTCTAACATAAAGAGAAGTGCTGAAAAGTAAGAATTTGCTAAGTTCTCTTTTGAAACGGATTAAAAAAGTGTAAAACTCATTTTGAGACAGAGAGTATTTTTTTCTCATGGTTGAATCTGATGGGGGACAAACAAAAATGGGCCCAGACATACTGCATGGAGTATTCGAGTTCAAGTACTTTTTAGTGCTCCCTCTGTCTCATAATAGATTACAAATTGTACCATAAAACAAAGAAAATTTTCAATTTTTTTAATTTTTTATGTTTTAAGATTGGTATAAAAATGAAAATTACACTTTCAAAAATTACATAAAGATTTTACAAAACAAAAAGCTACAATAATATTTTATTTTATCAAAAAAAATAAAAATGAACAAATAAACAAAAGTTACCATGATTTTAGAATATTCAACGTTGTAATCAATTAAAGGACAAGAAAGTAGAAAAGAATGTCAAAATAAGAGGCCCTGTAATGCTTGAGGGTTTGTTTGGTTGGGGTCCGAGTGCATTCAAATTATAGACTCAAATCTCATCCAGACTTCGATTTCTTTTCCCTCCACTACCCCTCCAACCATACACGCCTTGGGAGGATGCATACAACTCAAATGTTCTATTCTCGTCAAGCTCCCAATTCCAAAGTTGTCCGTCCGCCCATTTTCAAACCCGCCAAGCTTAAACGGGCAAACTAGACGAAAAGGACCATGCCCGGGACTCTTTGAAATTGGGAGCTAGCATGATGGATAAAAAAATAAAATCCTTGACAAACGAATAATCGTGGACCGGTTTAGAGATTTCTTCAAACCAATATATAACCAATTCATTTACCCCTATTATTCATCGCCTATACGAAGAAAAAAATGGGGGGAAACTCAAAGCAAGATCCAAGAGAAACGATTTGATTCCTCGGGTAGGAAAACATAGCTGGAAGAGTGAACCCATCTTCCCTCAGAATGAAACTTCTCCAAATCATATTGAAGTCATATAAGATTACACTATGACAATGTTGTAAACGGGTGTCACATTTTACCTTGGGTTGAAACTTGAAACCCAGAGAGCAGAAGCACAAATCTTGGCTGGAAATGGCGCATCTTACAATCACCTTTGTGTTCACTTGCTGATCTGTATCGATGAGGTTCTTCGGATTGATCAATCAGACTATACTGGGTGCATCACCTTCCCAACTACAAGTGGCACGGGGCCAGCGTGTCCGAACACAGTCGACTAAAGGACAATGGTGAGAAGGTTGAGGTTGGGTCACTTCAGTGGTTGTGCCCGTTGCCTCAGGATCAATTTGGGTTGAGTTGGAGCATGTTGGAATGCCGGACATAAATTCCTCAGGAGTCCACCTTGGAGGAACTAAGACCCTTAATTTAGTCAGTCTTGGTCTTTGTATGGGAATTTCACTTCCAGATGATGCCTGGTTCATGACTGATTTTGCAATCCCGTTGAAGTGGTAAAGATCAAAAGCCTTCTTGCCTGATAAACCGCTGGAGTCTTTGAATCCTCCTTGACTCTTGTCGAGATCTAAAAGAACCTGCCAAAAATCACTCCAAACGATGAACCCAGTGTTGCAAAGGTTTTCAAGCTTCTCTGATGGGAGATTAATGTTAGTGTCTTTAAGGACTTGATGGAAACCTTCCACGCTAATGAATCCTCCTCCGCCACTTTGATCGTGTGCATCAAACGCTCTTCGGATCTGTGTCTCTCTGCCTTCAAGTTCATTCTCTTCTTGAACTTTGGTTTCGAGAGCAAATAGGACCGTATAGTGAGACTCACTTCCAACAACCCAAATTGGCCATCTGGGGCACTTCAAATACTGCCCAACCTTACAGTAGTTTAGGGACTCTAGCAGGGTGAGGAACCCAACTTCAACTGCTGTAGATATGCCCTTCACGAACATTCCACCACCCAAGTCCATCATTCCATCAAACACATTTGCCACTGCCCTTCCACAAAGCAAAAGGTTTACAATTTCCTGTTACAGAGATATATGAAGTTTTAACATTATAATCGCCAAAGGAATTTAGACTATTTATTTTGAAAAGAATAAAGATTTTTCACTAGTAAGAGAAGGGCCATTTTATGCTTCCCGAGTCACCTGAGAAGCATGCCCAAAAGGAGCAGTAACCAATGGTTGTGTTGGATCATCCCTGTCACTCTGAACAGAATCCTATATGAACAAAACAAATTGTCACTGCATCAAGCAAACCACAGAAAGAGGCAACCGAATACGTGCAAGTTGCATGCCTTCAAACATTTATTATTAAGCAGCAATAAAGCATTGTTGTCATGAAGCACATTATCTCAGTACCCAAGAGATTCTAAATATATTAGTTTTACTAGAACATGCTCTGTTCAAAAAGAGCACTCATGGATTCCTCTTTCATGTGAAGCTGTAGTACAACACACACTGAATCCCCTTGAATCCCAATGGTATACAGAATTAGATTTGCTTGTCCTCCAGTCCTTATAATAAATCTAACAAAACAGTAAAACACTCAGCCGCCAGACGCTTTCCCTCTTGGAGGTCACCTTGCCTGACTTCATTCAGGCACTACACCCATGCCTCTCCACCTCAGGCAACCCAGGCACTCACCCGTAATAACTATGCATTATGGTTTGTGCAAACTGAACAATATGAATGGTTTTTCTCAGCATGGAATTTTAGTTGAACTACACATTAATACTCTTCTTTTGTGGGGTTACAATTTTTAACTGGGGAAGACTCTTAAACTGAAAAAAAGAAAGTATTTTAACCTGGCTAGTTTGCTAAGGTGCGCTATAAAATATTCTTATTGGATTGAACCTAATACTAGAGTGGAAATGATCCCCTTCTTTGTTGGGTTATTCTTCTTGAGGAAATGTCTAAAATCGAAAACGGACATCATAATATATCAAAGTTTGTCACTCAAGTCTACTCAAGTACAATAGTCTTTCACGTTATGCATTGTTATTCCTAAATTCAAATGCATGCTCGCTTTGATATCCTGCAAAAGAAACGTGCAAATCAACCCTTTACACAATAAATCACTAAATCAGTTGAAATTTTACTTGACAACTTCCACTTATACCAAAAGGAACGATAAGTAATGAGTCACCTTGACGTTATCTTACGAATTGATGAATTGATAAAAAAATCTTTGTCACAAAATGACTTACAATTCCACGAGAAAGCAAAGCAGATATGAGGAACAACATTGCTCCCATACGACTCCGGTACACAGGAAGCAATTCTTCAATCCTTTTTAGTGCACTTGCTGGTGAAGTGTACTGAGTAACACTCAGAATGTTGTGAAAGTCAAGACCCGATTCAATCGTAAGGCCATCAAGTGCTTTTGCAATGACCTGTATCGAAAAACAAGCTCTAAAATTTATGATGATATCTTATTACCAGCGATGGTTGCTTTTAGGGAGGTATATATACACACACACACACACACACACACATATACATACATACATACACACACACACACACACACGAAATTTGTGTGATAACAAATGTATGCTATTTATTTGTACTTTTTTTTTCGAACTGAAAAACCACATAGATAGACTCTGGGCTCACTCTTCACTCCTCGAGACTATTCCAATTAGAATTTAGATGAAAAGAACAGGCCCTTTATGTACTAAACCCTAGGGATTTCCTAAACCTAAGGTTATTGAATAATACTAGTATAGTTTAGCAAAATTCAACAACTTGAAATTCAGTTATTATTCTTAAAGAACAAAACCTGCAAATACAAGGATTTAAAAAGAAGTACAAAGGAAAATCATTGTTGATATAGATGAATCTAGGTGTCTTTCTGTTTTGATGAATTAATAGATGATGATGCATATCAAAGGTCTCCCGACTGATCATCAGGAATTTTGCGTCTCACCTCATCTTTTGAGCTGTCAACAGACCCTTCAAGGTCCATATCAAGATTTTTCAAAGATGCTATAGAAGCTCTTCCATTTGTTCCACACATAAACAATATATCAGCCATACTTCTCACCAGTGCCCTGTCACCATACAAAAAGTTATGGGGATTAGCCACAATCTTTCACACTTCATGCTTACTTAATGCATTAAAGATTTCATTTGAGATAAAATTCAAAACGAAAAAAAAGAATAAAACTCACACTTCAATAAAAGAATAACTGAGGATAATCTAAAAGATTGAAGATGTTTGATATTCTAGCCAAAGGATAACACATAATAAGTTAATAACTGGTACAAAGTATTTTGGCTGACGTTGAAAGGCACGTCTAGGTCAGAATATAGATGTGGCATGCAATTTACAAAATATGGTCCCTACATAATTTACTGTCAACGTTACTTTCCTGAGGTGATCCCTCTCATCCAGAAAACTCTAAATAGGAGCTGCACAATGTTGGTGATATAGACCAAATAGAGCAAATTATGTTCTTTGGACCACCAACTTGAAACAGCACAATGTATACAACACACGTGTGTGTGTGCGCGCACACACACACACGCATGCACACATGAATGCCAGAATGGAGACGGGTATACAATTTATATATGCATCTGACTTACTGTTAGCATTACTTACCTGAAGGGCTATAGGTGATTCCCTCATTCCAAAACTCTCAACTCTCAACTCTCAACAAGAGTTAGGCTTAACCAAAGCAATATGGACACAATAGAGCTGATTTTATGTTATTTGACCCACCAATGTTGAAACTTGACACAAACAATGAACCAAATAGAGTTGATTTATGTTCTGTGGACCACTAGGGTTGAAAGTTGATACACACCCATTTAGTTAGGACGTCAGGGTCAGCCTAGCAGTTAGTCAAACAATCAACCAGCTAGCTCATCCATGGGTGTACTCAACCAACCACTTCCATAATCCCGGAAGTTTGGACTCACGACTATAGGATCACCACCAGAAGTTAAGAAGTCTATTACATGATTACCAATGTTGAAACTTAACAAAAACAATGAACCAAATAGAGTTGATTGTATGTTCTTTGGACCATTAGTGTTGAACCTTGATACAAACCCATTTAAATAGGATTATCCGGATCAGCCAATCAGTTAGCCCAACAATAGATCAACCTGCTCCTCTATGGGTGTATTCAACCAACCATTCCCATAGTCTAGAAAGTTTGTAATTCCCCAGAAGTAAGGGAGTCCACAAGGTTTATTACATGATCCTAGTATAAATACTCCCCTCTGAACTCGATAATAACCTAAGAATATACACCAACAAGTTGGGGCCTAATTTGGCGACTTTAGGATAAACATCTCCAAAGCAAGTGCAACCAAATGGTTAGGCAGAATAGGGAACAATGGCTTAACTGCGGAGAGGATTATGGTTTGGAGTTTCTCCTTGCAAGGGAGGATGCCAAAGGGTTAAACTTAATCAATAAAAATTAGTGGATATTGCATCAATCTAACAGTGCTTTAAAGCACAACAACAACAACCCAATTTGATCCCACGCAAGTAAGGTTTGGAGAAGGTGTGTGTACGCAGACCTTACCCTTGCTCGAAAGTAGGGAGGCTATTTCCAAGAGACCCCCGGCTCAAGTGTCTATTTTTCCTTTTAGCCACCCCATCTTGGGAAGGCACGTAAACAAAATAAGATTGGTGAATCAAACTTTTTTGGGTCATGTACGGTGTAAAGGGAATACTGATAAGAAACATTTGGACATTTGGTGGCACCATCACTGTGTAATATAAAAATATGCATATTGAATTGGGTACTTATTTTAGCATAGAGAGCACGAAAATGGGGAACGAGTTCATATTGGTTTTTCACAAAAATATGACCACGTAGAAGAACAATCATCAACAAAAGTGACAAAATACCTGTATCCACCTTTGGACACATGGAACTCAAACATCTCAATGAACTAATTTCGCTGATTTTGACATGACTCAGATTGCAAGAAAGGTTGAGTGGTCGAAGTAAGAGTGCATTTTCTTTAGCAATGGAAGAAATGGATGTCCTTATGAACGACAAACTTCAACGAGCGTACCTATTCCTAGACAAGAAACAGATTTTGGTGTGAATGAATCAAGGGATATAGAGACGAACAAACTTATGTCCTCTACTGAGAATCCCTTTGTTGCAAGATCCTAAAATAAACAATTAGTAAAGAATGTTACCGAACAATTAATTCCAAGAGTAAGTTTAAGACTGAATGAATTCAATAACAAATCAAGAAGACTTTAGACATAGCCACAGAGGATGATGGAAGATCAAGTGCCTAAACCAAGTACCTTTGAGTTAGACCTAGCTAGTTAAAACAGATTGGGATAGTTAATCACTCGGAGGTGTGACAACAAAACTGAGTGAAGTGCACAAGGAAAACATGAAACTAAGTGAAAATGAGCAGTAGTGAAACAAGAAGGCACCAGGAAGGAGAGGAACTCCTGGAAACTCTATGGTTGTCGACCATTCAAGATTCCAATCAAGAGAGGCATCGTCAAATGCCAGCACATGTCAAACTGATAGAGTGTTGGCGGCATGCATGGCACGGTGATGGTCTTCATTGGCCGGGTCATCAGCAATGCTTATGGAAAGAGGGATGTACTCAAGCAAAGAAGGCTCTATGGAAAATAAACATGCTTTGAGAGGAAAATAAACATGCTTATAACAAAACCTTTGATATCGTGTGATTATGGACTAATGGAGTGAATTTTACTATGCAAGGAACTCATAATACTTAAGTAGATTACAGCTCCAGTTTGTAAGTGTAATCTATAGCTGGGAAGGTACTAAATCTATTTAGTATTGGGCTAAGTTCATTAGAGTAGCAATTAGGAGATTAGGACTAGGGATAGGGTTACACCACTAATTAACACACTAACTAACGAGAACCATGGTCAAGATTCTTACTTTCCCTTTGACCTTGTAAAACACCAAAAACATTGTACTCCGTATTAAAGAAAGATGAGATAGAATCAACATATTAGTCATGTTGGCTTCAATTTTTTTAAAAGAATAGAGATCACTCACATTGATTTCATGTCTTCGGTAAGGGAAGAAAAAATATCAGCCCCTACATGTTCATGTTTGGAGGATCCTCTCAAGCCTGTATTCGCAAATATGTTTGGTGTTGCAGTATTTAATTCCCCCGAGGAAAATAAAAGGAATTTTAGAACAAAAGCCTGCAGATTACGTAATAAAAGCATTTTGTGAAATTTGCTGAATTTTTCAAAGATAAATTATTATTATCAAGATTGCCCCAGTCAGGGGCGGATTATAAAAGGTCTATTAAAACATTATTGAACTCATAATTTTTTTTCTCATCACAATATTATGTAACTCGTCTTATAACTCTCAAGTTGCATACCGTACCGCCACTTTTTCGTGGAACCTACATTTATATGTTGCTACTGTTGCTCAAGAATTAAAGGTTTGCTTGTTATGAATTAATGATGATTATCTTCCCTATAGCAAGGCTATTTTTTTTAAATTTTCATTGGTACAAGCTTAATTCGAAAGTGAACAATTGAATCCCTTCCTGGTTCTCCATACCAAATATATCTACATAATCAATTTAATCATTAATAGGATCGTCTTAAAAGATTTGTAGGTTCAATAACTTCAGTCTCAAGATAACATAAAACAGAACATTTCATGGTACATTGGTACGTTTACACATTCATACACTCAACATTTTCACAATTTATAATGGCAAAATAACCTACATGACATTTTCATAAGTGGAATCAATTTATTGAGACAAATCATAATACTTAAAATCACCATAGCATTGATATAATAAAACTATGGGTTGTTCAAAATTTTGATCTACTATTTTTTTCTTTAGGTAAAGGTGTCCTGTATAACTGTTTTTGTCATCTTTTCATATGAAAGCTATTCGTTACAATTACATAACAGAACTGTATTCAAAATTTCAAATTACAAATCTAAACATGATAATGAGAATATTACTTGAATTGCTGCTAATACACCACATGGCCCACCTTCATGCTGCACTAAGCCCATTGATGTTTCTAGATCAGAACTAAACCTATAGAAATTTCGCATTATGTATTAGAAATGTGTGATATCTGATATGGCATTATAGAACTTGTGAAAACAGAATAACTAACAGAACAGCAAATACCAGAAGAAATCTCAAAACAGAACAGCATCTGCTGGGAATAACTGATCAATAGCTAGATACAGTAAATATTGAATCAATCTATGATGACACCACACACACACACACATATATATAGTTTTGAAATAATAAATAATTGAAAATAGCAGTTAAATTTGAACGGGATGCAAGTGGTTTTGGATCTTGTAGTCTGCATCCACATTTGAAAAACAAATGTCTGGATATGGTTGCATTGTTATTTTGTTGACAAGTTTATCTAGAAGGGGAGAATTGATAGAGCAAATTGAAGCATTGTTACAAGCAAAGAAACCCTATCACGTAAAATGATGTTTACACACCATGTGGCATGTGCAAACACACATCTACACCATGCATTGAAGCTAATATGCGCAATACTCTTACAATATTAGATAACATTAAAAATAGTCTTAAATCATTATTACCACATGTCTTGTTCGTTCTTTGTAAAAGAAGTAAGAACAAGCCAACCGAACAATGCTGAGAAAAAACTACAGCTAACTAATGAGATTTAAAAGGGCATGTTACACATGGTGACAGAATCTAGAATATAAAAGTAATTTTTCAATAATTTCACTAGTGGAGAACTCGCACGGATGATAACATTTTACTGAAAGACGTGTGGTTCCTGAATAACAACTAAATTAATCAATTCTAAAGGCTATGAAACAGGAATCACTGGGCATAAAATAATCAACAATCAATTATCTAGGATGACGAGCCAAATCAGCCAACTATACTTACAAAATTGAATCTTTTGAATAAAAAGAAAAGCAAACTACATAGCCTGAACCTTGCCATACCTAATGCCCTGGTTAGTCCATTGTCCAAGTATATCCCTAGAGACTGTGCTCCCAAAAATCAATGAGAATAACTGCTCAGCCTCCGCAACAGACAACTCTTTCCCCGAGTTCACATTTTCATGCTCAGGCTTTTCCAAAGTAAGAGCTTTAACTAATCCAGCACTTGACCCACCTGGATTCTCTTGTACCGCGGATGTCTCCCCTCTCTTTTCAGCATTTTCAATTCCCGTGGGCGCCACAGATGCAGCCGCATGCTTTGAGGCCATCATCCGCTTCTCCGCAGCTGCCGCCATCAGCTCCCGTTGTTTCCGGCGGTTCTTGGCGGCAGGCGACTCCTCTTCGTCCCCGCCAGCTGATACTTCTCCAGGCTTGCTCCTCTTCGGCTCTGGAGACTCATTCTGCAAACTCATCCTCAGCGCCATCTTCAATTCCTCGTCTTCATGATCTGCCATTTAAGGCAGAGCTCAGAATACCAGATCTAATGCCTACAAATAAGATCTTCAAATACCACTACACCAGCATGTAACAAAACTTGTGAACTAGGGTTTGAGATTCCGAAACCCAGAGAAATTTACTGAATCCACGCACTGGATGCATCAAGCATAGAGGAAGACGCAAAGAGATAAAATCAATCACGCTCCACACTTTTCATTTCCAATCTCGATTCACCGAGGATCGCGGGGCACATTCATAAACATATATGCGGAGTATTCGGGATTGATACGTTATCTAATTCATAAATTCTTTTTCTTTCTGTAAGTATTTTTATTAATCATTTCATAAGATACAAGTAAAAGTTTAGGGTCGGTTTCATATACGGAATTGGTAGAATTGAAATTGAAATGAAATTGAAATTTCATGGGATTCAATTTTATATAATTGAATTCTGCCAATTCAAATTCATTTTTTGCACTATTGATTCCAAATCCACATAATTTTTGTGCTATCAAACACCAAAATTGGAATTGAAGTCCACAATTTCAATTCAATAATTTGAATTCCATGTACCAAACAGGATCTTAGAGTATTTTGTCAAATTCTTTTGTAATTTTAGGATTTATACTCACTTTATGGATTTCAGTATATAAATGTTCTGGATGAATTGAACTTTTTGAAAAAAAATAAAAGATTTTCATATCGATCCATGAAAAGATTCACATTCACATGTGAATCTTAGGATCATAGAAGTACAACTTATTTTGTTCATCTAAAAATTACTCATTCTGTCCTTAAATTGAGAGAAAATATTCTCTTTATTTCTAATAGTCATGTGCACACCAATGTTGTATATATAGAAATCTACATGTGGGAAACTTTTTAAATAAACAAACTATACTTGTAGAAAACAAATTCTCTTAAGAAATATAATAATACAAAAGTACTACCAAAAACACAATATGAAATTAAATTATACTCCCTCCATCCCATTTTATAACGCCTGTTTCGGTTTACGATGTTTGACTAAAATTATTTTCAAATTATTTTATATGACAAATGGTATAAAGTTAAAAAATAAAAGTTACATATTAAAATACTACATCAAAAGATCTACAAAACTAGTAGTGACAATAGTATTTTATTTTATCAAATTAATAACGAAAATAGAGAAAGAAAGTGAATGAAGTTTGACTCTGTGAATAGTAAACATGCATTATAATTTGGGACGGAGGGAGTATATTATACTCCCTCCGTCCACATTTAAAGTTCCCTCTTTGACTCGTTGCGCAAATTTAGGTGGAATAAAAATTGTGTTGACTTTCCCTTTATGCCCCTAATCTTTTCTATCCCTGTACACCCCACTGGAGCCGTCTACCCCTGTACACCACTGACGCCGAGACTTCTGCACTGCCGTCGCCGCCGCTTCTGCACCGCCGTCGATGATGCTTTCGCATCCCCGCCGTCGAAAGCTCCGGGCATCGCAGCGCCCAGCCGTCGCAGCCCCTACCATCCCTCTCGCCGTCACAACTTGCTTCTCTCGCCGTCACAACTTGCTTCTCTCGCCGTCACAAGCCCCCGCCTTCAAAGATCTATTTTTAGACTTCTCGTTAGGGAAGAAAATCAACATCCCACCATAGATCTGGAAAAAAAATAAAAAAATTGTTCCTACAAATCTAGATCCGACGAAGATGCAACCAGATCTGAAAAAAATTTCTTCTTTTAATTGACGAAAGAAGAAGGAAGAAAAACAGGAAAAAAATGAAGAAGAAATAAGAAGAAGAAGAAGAAGAAGAAGAGGAGGAGGAGGAGGAAAACAAGAAAAGAAGAAGAAAACAAGAAGACAGAATTGAGAGGAAGAAAAGAAAGAAAAAGAAGGAAAGAGGAGGAAGAGTGGGGAGGGTGGCTGACGAGGTGGGAAGGGAGAAAAAAGGAAAAAGAAAAAGAAATGTAATGGACGAGGGTAGTTTTGTCTTTTAACCCTGTAAAACTTACTAAAAAAGGAAATGAGAACTTTATTTGTGGACGGACCGAAAAGGAAAGTGGGAACTTTAATTTTGGACGGAGGGGGTATCTTATTATATTTTATTATTATTATTATTATTATTATTATTATTATTATTATCTGCATTATTATTATTGTTTTTGTTATTGTTATGTAACAATCCCCTCAAGTTAGAACATATAAAAATGAAATGCCCAACTTTGGAATAAGAACCTCTAGAGGTGATTTTCCTAAAGCTTTAGTATGTATGTTCGATCGATGTTGTGAAGTAGGAACATGTTTAGTGCAGATGACACCACACAATAGCTCATCACAAACAAAGTGACAATCCATCTCAATATTTAGCCATTTTAATTCCCATGTGGATGCAGCAAGGTCCATAAATTTAGCTTCAATCGAGGTGCGAGCCACAATCTTTTGTTTCTTCATCTTTTAAAAGACCAGAGAATACCAAACGATGATTTTGTGGCTCAAACACAATAAAAAACAACTATCAGCAGAATCAATGTACTCAAACATATTGTTGCAGTAATACATGGGAAATAACACACCAATAAATATTCCTTCTAACACAAACACTGCAAAGAGAAACCAAACAGCTTCTGGATTGAGAGCAGAAGCATATCATTTGTGCAGTGCACAGCAACAGTTTTGTGCTCCAATTTCAGCTTCAAGACATGGAGGTTTGGAATTCTCGTCTTTGTACCATTCTAACCGAGCTTGAATCAGCTCGCTAACAAAACAGTCCAGCTTCTCGATTGTCACATTAGGCATCACAACAGCGTGGGCCATGTTTCTTTCGCAGGCGAGTTGCCAGCGGCGAACAAACTCCTCATCTTTAGGTCTCTCAAAGACGACGGTACTGCTAAGCTCGTTGAGCATGACACTGATTCCGGCTCCTAGGAGGCAATCTTTTAGGTAGTGTGCGTTTCTGAGACACTTTTGGACCTCTTTCTGGAAGCCCTTGTAGCCTTTCCGGTTCAGGGTGTACCAGAGAAAGATTGGGGCATGGCCGTTTCGGCTTCCCATGATGGTGGCATCCCTTGAGGCAAGGTACTCCACATTCCTTGAGAGTGCGTTGATGTGGTCCAGCCTTGTGATCTGAACACCACAGGGCATTGGGCATCCCACAAACTTGTGACCAGAAACACTAACACTGCCAATTGGTTTTTTGAATGAAACCTTTGGTGCCTGTACATGATGACAGCACAAAGTTAATACTCCCATCCCAGAGAAAAGGCTCCGTATTACTATTTACACGGTCAAACCATATCTTTTTTAATACATATTTTCATTGATCATTTCACAAAATAAAATAGTCATGACATCTTTTGTTTTGTAAAACTGTTGACGTAGGTTATATATATAAATTTAAATTTTTAGCTTTACACCAATTTTAAAATAAATTGTTTTGAAAATAACTTCAGTCAAACATCGAACAAAGAGAGTCTTGCGAAATAATTAACATGAATACATGATACTCCATACATGACATGGTTAAACACCAAAATATTTCACATTCTATCAACATGACTTGGGAGAACAATTCAAGAGTCAGAGGACAACTCCCTTTACATTCATGTATGGTGATTTTCAAGCCCTTTTTGTTTTTGCTATTTTACTGTCCAATCCGTTTTTAACCATTGTTCACTCTATCTCTGCCTTTCAAAAATATTCTATTTTCAACATTTAAAAAATGTTAATTTTTCATATCCTCATCCAGAACATCCCAAGTTTTTTTTTGTAGTCAAGGGCCTTCAAGGAAAGTCTCTACGAAAATGGTGCAAAGGTCAGGTAAGCATAAATTCCCCGCTCCCTTGAGTGGGGAGTTTCTGGGTATGTTTAGATTAGTTCAGGCACAATAGGATGTGTAACACAAATTTCGCACAAGTGTTATTCATGAACATATTTGGGCATGATTGAAGGAAATTCTCTTGCAAAGACAGACGACTTTTGGTATTCTATGGTTTATCTATGAAAAAAGATTCTGCCAAGAGCACCCATGATTTGCTTCCATTTTAAAGCTTGTACTCTACTTCCCTCTTTGAATCATCTTCTTCATCCAACATTATCAACACCCTAGTCCCAACTAAATGGGGCACTGGCATTAAATTTAGTGCCAGGTCATGATTTAAGACACACGAGTATTTGTTATAGTCACGTTCCATTACCAAAATGACAGTGTAAAATCAACCTACAAGTCATGGAACATGGCCAATTTAATTCATTAATTGGTTAAGTTAATCCATTGGTTAGCATAGAGAACAGCAACTAGACATAGTCTAATTCATACACACCAGGTTAGTCAAGGAGAGCAAAACGTATCATGAAATCAGGAAAAAGAGGCAACATTTACTTGCTAGTTTCCATTAATGACATCAGAAGGCCAAAGAGAAATCCATGGGCATGCGCATAAAATTTATGACAATGTTGAAAGCCGAAACAAAAGTAACATTTACTTACACGCTTCACAAATGGCATCATAAGCCCAAAGAGTGCTCCATCACAGTGTATATAAAACCGATTATGTGAATACCCACATTCTTCAAGGGTTTGGATAACAAGGTCAAGATCATCAACAGCCCCCTTCACAGTTGTGCCTGTGATATGAGATAGAATGAATCATCAAGCAACATGCTGCAAGTAGGCTTATATGTATCAGAGTCAGAGAGAATACAAGGAATTGTACCTATGTTAACATTGATAATTGCAGGTTTGTCTGTGTTAGAAAGGAGCTTAGCCTTAAAATCCACACAATCAATCTCACCAGTTATTAATGTGTTAACCTTTACACATTCCATTCTATACATTCTTGCTGCTTTAAACACTGAATAATGTGACTCTCTTGAAGCATACAAAATTCCATCAGGAAATACTTCTCTCCTGCAAAGTGAATTTATTTCTTATTTCTTTAAACGTGAAAAATCGTCAGAGAAAACCAATGAAGTACAGTATGCACCGCATTAAAAAAATGACAAATATACTAACCCAACAAGAATTCCATGAAGATTTCCCTCAGTCCCACAGTTTGTAATGTATCCCCAGTACTCATTTCTTTCAATGTCCCATAAACGGGCAAACCAATCCAATACACCCACTTCAAACTGCCTCGAGTGCACACCATAGTTGCTCTCTATAAATGGATCACCAAGGTTATTAATGGAGAAATGCTGTAACTGTGAAAGATCTCCATAATCAAAATCCAGATTGTATGGATATCCTGCAAAAATTAGACACCTCGGAATCAAAATAATAAGAACCATGAATCTTTGAAATGCTGTCTACATCAGTGCGGAGAGAGAAATCACCTAGATGCAAGAGCATTCAAAGCACATTAAATTCAATGAAAAGATATTATTTGACAGAGTAAAAGAAAATACATGAAATGCAAAGATTCTTGGACAGAAAAACAGCTAAAATGCATAGTCTATTTGTGTGTAGTGTACATGGTGTGTGATAAAGCATCAAAATGATTTGTAATTTACATATTGAATAATCTATAGCATATGATATAGGATAGATATCATGCCCACAGGCTGGCGAAAAGTAAATTTGCTCCATACATTACTAAAGATAACCTCTTTCCCAAATTGTACCAGTACTTTGTACTCCGTATGTCTCAATGGCTTCTTTACAATACAGTTTGGGATGTTTTACTATGTAATTTCCAAAACATTTTGTCTAAATTTTGGTGTAAAAGGACTATATTATTTCATCAATGAAAATATATAAAGAAAAAAATAATATTGACTTCTTTTAATATTAATATCAACAGCGCGCATTCAAACTTTAAACTGTCTAACATAGAATCAAATCTGGAAATGGAACGATACTAGATTTTGGTGTAAAAGGACTATATTATTTTTAAAATGAAAATATATAAGGGAAGAGAACATAATATTGATTTCTTTTAATGCTAAAGTCCACAGCTCGCATTCAAAGTTCAAACTGTCCAGCATAGAATCAAATCTGGAAATGGGACGAACCTAGATGATGCTTGGTTCGCTCGACAAGAGATTTGCGGTACCGAGCCAAGACGCCAGCCATGTAGGCTTCCTTATCTCCCGTCGATTCATCGTCCGCATCAGGCTCGGTGACTTCCAGACACGTGGTGTGCACGTTCCGCCCCAGCACAATCTCCCTCTTCTCCGTCTTCCTCTCTCCGGTGGGGACAGCGCCGTCCAGAATGCCGGATTCCGCCAACGGAGGAACCGGCTCAGACATATTAATCGCCGGATCGGAGGAATCGTCTACCAAAAGCTCAGCCGCCGGAGCTTTCCCGTTCGAAAGGACTCCGCCAAGCGAGGCCGCCTCAATTCCAACGCCGCTCCCGAACATCTTCGCCCTGTTCAAATTCAAAAAATCACCTAAATCATCCGATTATTCCTCTCCTAATAATCGCTCGAACAGATCGGGAAAATTCAAAAACACAAACTTTTTATGCAGAAATGAATCGAGGAATGTCCAACATCAAAATGTATGAAACGCTACCTTAGAACTGGAATCGAGGAAGGATGCAATGGGAAAGGCAATGGAGCGGTTGTGGGAAAAGCGCGAGAGCGAAAGAGTAGGAGAGATGTGGTGGAGGAGGTTGATGAAGGTTATGAAGGCAGTTTTTTAGTGCGCAATTATAATTACAGTATAAAGCATGTTACTGTGAGTCGACAATGAATCATCAAAATGCGAGTACTTCATTGGCTGCATCTTTCATGCCCAGTGTTGGATATGGATGTTAAAAGAGAATTGGGAGAGATTGGAAATCGATCTTACGGGACAATTCGGGTGCTTCGTTTGAAAAATTGTGGTTTGCTAATTTTCTATCCCCTAAACTCCAGAATAAGCCCCCCACCCTACTAGCATAAGGCTTCGTTCCGTTCAACTTATTGTTTTTGATCTGATCTAATTTTTAATAAGTTTTGATCTGACCTGATCTGATCTGATTGGGTCTGATCTGATTGAATCTGATCTGATTTGGTCTGATCTGATTAATTATGATTTGATTTAAAATTCAAATCAATAATTTGATTTGACTTTATAATAACGTTTGAAAATTATAGTGATAATTCATATTTTAATATAATCAATATTTTTATTTTATGAATATTTTTTAATAAAATAAAATTAGTTAATTCATATATTAGAATAATCATTAATATTATAATGTAATAATATTTTTTATTTTATGATTATTTTTTTGTGAAATTAGAATATTAATTTAATATTTTAATAATTACTTCATATATACATTAGAATAAATATTTAATTTATATATAAATTAAAAAGTAATTAAATTAAGATAATCAATATATATAAGAGATAGTGTTTTTATTAAAATATCTCATCCTTACAAAAAGATCAAAACTTTAGAAACTCAAATTACAGGTAGGAATAAAAATATATTTTAAAAGTAAAAATTAGATTGACATTGTCAATGTATTTTAAAAATAATTTTTCCGACGTCTAATAATTAAGGATTACTTTCTCAGTTTTCTATTTAACTTGTTTCTAAAGTTTATTCTTTTTCATTTTTAAGAATAATAATAATAATAATTCTTGATGGGATCTGATCTGGTCTGATCCGATCTGATTGAATCTGATCTGATCTGATTGGATCTGATCTGATCTGATTGGATTTGATCTGGTCTGATCTAATCTGATTGGATCTGGTCTGGTCTGGTCTGATCTGATTGGATCTGATCTGGTCTGATCTGATCTAATTCGGTCTGATCTGGTCTGATCTGATTCTAATAAGAATAAGAAAAAATAAAAAAAATAAATTGAACGGAACGGGGCCTAACTCAAATCCACTCCCACCTCTTTCTATTGCACCTTACAAAATTCAGTTAATTTTGGAGTCAAATCTTGACATAAAGTCAACTAAATTTTGTTGTATGGCGGGGGTGGGTTTGGATCGGGATTGGGAAGTTATCATGGGTCAGGAAAGATGGAATCGTCGATTTTTTAAACAAAACATCGTAAGTGCTTCAATTAAAGCCTAGGTCATGGTATGACACTCGGGCTCAATGCCACATGAACCCTTCCCAAAGAAGAATGAGTTGATTGCATGTTCAGGAACTCGAATTAGGACTTCAAATCTAGATTTGACTCAAATTTCAAGTTTGAAAAATCTTAAAAATTTAGATTTGGACTTGAGTTAAACTCCTTTAATTCATAGAAAGCTCATTTGTAAATCTATGTCTCCCATTACCATTTGAAATTCAAAAATTTAAATTTTGGAGTTGAAATGTAATAATTGAAATGAAATGTTAGTTCTCAAACACCATCTGAAAGAAATTGATAAGGTTGGAAGAGACTAAGAGCATGTTCTTTAGGGTTAGAAAAACAGAGTTGGATATTGAAAGAAATTGGATAAAATTAGAAGAAAATAGAAGAAATGAAAAAAAAACTAGAAGGACTAAAAAAACTGTAAGAAATTAGAAAATCTGAAAAAACTATAAAAAATTATTTAAGTGTATTTATTATATTATTCTCATTCAAATTGTTGTTATATTTTATTATTATTCATATCATTATTATTATATTCATAATCACGTTATCTTAATCAATTTTTTAAGATAAAAAAGTATTGTCATTTTTCATACACAAAAGTATTGTCAAAATAATACTTCGTATATTTGTAATTACACTTTATATATTACTCACCCCGTCCCTAAATAGATTACAATTTTTTTCATCTCTCCTCTCGATAACTTTTGTTTGTTTATGCGATTTCATTAAGTATTTGATAAAATAAAATATTCTTGTCACCTCTTGTTTTGTAAAACTTTTGACGTAGTTTTTTAATATGTAATTTTTATATCTTATTGATATACCAATTTGTGAATAAAATGATTTCAAAAAGTAGGAAATTTTACTCCGTAACTCGCAATTATTAATCAAATTGGGGACGGAGGGAGTATAAGATTTTATTTTAAATATTAGATTTGTCATATAATGTGATCAAACCTATTTTTTTTATCATGATTAACATCATATTTGCATTGTAACTTCTATTTTGAAAATAAACACATAGAACTCCTATTTTGGTACATTTTTATGTTATACTTCTAGTTTATTCTTTTTCTCTAAAATATTTTAACTTTCAAAATTTTTTTATAAAAATTTAAAAAAATAAAAATAAAATTATTTTAACCGGTGTTGCTATTTTATTTTTAATTAATTTTTAAATTTAAAAATTTAAAAAAAGGTGAGATTTGATGTTCTAAGTGGTGAGCTTTGCTTTATTTATAGTGAGTTTTGCATTGGTCATTGGTGAGCTTGGTAGTGTAATGTGGTGAACCTGGCGTCATCTCACCGAAGCATGTCATCTCACCGTAAGGTGTCATCTGACTGGAGTCAATCTCTCTCTCTCTCTCTCTCTCTCTCTCTCTCTCTCTCTCTCTATATATATATATATATATATATATATATATATATATATATATATATATATAAAAGAGTAGGTAATATGTAGTACATTTGTTCCTAAGTAAATGTCCAATTTGAGATTTCTGGTTTTTTGATAACTTTTATTTGTGTTTGCATTTTTATTAATAATTTGATAACATTAAAATAGACATGTCGCTATTTGTTTTGTAAAATGTTTTATATAGTTTTTTTGAGATGACAACAAACGCTTGTACTGAAAAGATGGATCAAAGTAGATTAAGACATAGACTTGAAAAGATGTAACCAAAGTGAGTTGTACTTCTGTGGTCCTAAGATCCACATGAAAAATGTGAATCTTCTCACACTTTTTATGGGTTTACAACTATATTTTTTGTAAAAGTCCAATTTTTATACGCTATTTATGTGCTAAAGTTTATAAAATGAGTATGTACCTATGATCCACAAAAGAATTTGCCAACCAAAGTGGTCCTTGAGGTGAGTATAGTCTTGAACGAGTATCTCATTTGGTCCTAGATTTTTGATGAAAGATTAGACTAGACCTTCGATCGAGTGGTCTTTTTCAAAAGACTATGTCGGAACTATAATATGATATGAGTTGTAATGCATTTGAAATATAATTTTATACAAATATATTTATGCTTTAAGGTTAAATTTAATATAAATACATTTATCGAATCAATATTGAGAATAATACTTTACATTATTTTTTTTATAATTTTAAAAATAAGTTATAACAAAATAAAAATATCAAATGTACAAAACGTACAAATTTAAATTAGTTTTTTGTTGATTCTATCAAAAAATAAGGACCCTCTGCCGAGCTTTATCCTTTCCGCATTTCCTTTTGAAGGGGATTCTCCACCTCTGCTTTGAGTCTTTCTTTGGAATTCTACTGAACAGATCGATCTGTTTGTTTTTGCAAATTCTCCAAAGGTCAAAGGTCTCCTCGCCAAGAGCTCCCCGATGACGAAACCCGTCTGCAGTGGCGGGGCGGCTTTTTTCTTTCACAATAAGATCTGGAGAATTATCCCTACCTTCGGTAGACTGGACTTAGACCGGTCCTAATTAGACTACCCGTTCTAGAAAGATACCTATTATTTTGTGAAAACCATACTAATCCTGTCTTAAATAATACCAATCCTGTCTTAAATAATACTGGTCTTTTCAAAGGATCGATTCCATCTAACCAATTTATCTTTTTGCTCATCTCTATAATTTTTTAAATATATACAAGTTGTATTTTTTATTTATATAGAAATTTATAAAAATGAAATCATTTTAAAAGAAATAAATTTGCACATTATTTGAAACACAACACTTATTTAGGAAAGGAGGAAGTAAATTGAAACAAATTTACCAATAGTAAAAAAAAATAAGGGCGACAAACAAGCAATTCAAATTGAAGTCACGAGTTCCTTGACATGATATCAAAGTCTTGTTGACCAAGAGGTCACGAGTTCGAAATTTACCGTCGCCTAATTTTAAAAAAATAAAAGTTTCACGTGCATGGCTCAAAGAAGTCAGGCCTGCACGAGAGGGGCATGTTAGAGTATATATAAAAATTTATCTTGGGCCAGAACCACAACCTTGAGCTTTTGGTTGAGTTGGTTTTTTGAGAGTTGAATTGAAAAAAGTGTTAAAAAATAGGGAGAAAAACCAAAATAGCACTCTTAGAGCACTAAAATACTCTAAATAGCAGTGCTATATGTTTCGTACCTGTGATTCCGATTTTGACCTTTAATTAAACAGTACTCTTACTGCCAAAAAATATGATTGTTTTGGGCAGTGTAGTTGTTCACTCATAATTGTGTAGTGGGTAGTGTAGTTTTTTTATATGTGAGTATTTAGTTTGGCAGTGTAGAATGAATATATGTTGTTATATCTTACGGCAGTGTGTAAATGTATTATTGTGTTCCTTAATTTCATGTTGTAGTGTAATGTCTATTGATTTATGTGGCAATGATTTCATTTATAAATTCTACACTGTCAAAAAGTGTATGACTATTTTCATGTATGAATTCCACACTGCCCAAAAAATATATAACTCTTTTTATGTATGAATTCCACACTGCCAAAAATATATATGATTGTTTTCATTTATGAATTTCACACTGCCCAAAAATGTATGACTGATTTCATGAATAATCTATTACACCAAAACACACTGGCCAATCATGGGCTTGGCTTTTTTTTTGTCTTTCTTGATTTTGTATAATGTTAGAAGATGTTAGTATTAGACATATGTTGAATTTCTTTTATGTGGTACTGAAAAGAAATGGATAATGGAAGGTATT